AATTTGATGGTTGCCCTATGGTGGCCTCCAATAGCAATTTAGAACTTGTAGAAGACATATTGCCTTTTTAAATGAGTGGAGGTGATTGTTTAATTTTTCCCTTTGTCCGTATTATTGTTGTAATATATGTACATACATATATATACACACACACATATACATAAACCAAACATAGGTATATATACTAATAATTTTCTAATATTGAGCCACTCCTGCATTTGTGGATTAAGCTTCCAGTTGGCTACTATGTCTTTTTAAAATACACTATTGGGTTCTGCTTGCTGATATTTTATGTAAGTTTTTAATTACATTCATAAGTGAATCTGAAATTTTCTTTTTTGGTGTGGTCTTTGTTAGACTTAGGGATCGCTTTTATACTTACTATTGGGAAATGGCACCATAATGCTAGGCCTCAGTCCTTGAGTTCAACTGAGAAAAGAATTCAGAGTTAAAAAATCCAATACAAGTGAAAATTTATTTAGAAAGTCACAGGGGTAGAAAAAGTGAGCCAGGGAAGAAGTGAGCCAGCTGGGCTGTGTGGGCTCAGGAAACAAGTTACAGAGGCAAAGGAAGGGCCCTTGGAGCTTAGGAGAAAGGCAAAGACAAAGGGCCTAGAGGAAAGAGAGGGGGAAAGGTGCTGGCATGCTTGAAAGAGAGAGAGAGAGACGGAACATGTACTAGATTCTTCATCTTCAGGAGTTTTATCTCTTTTCTAAAGGCAGGACTTTATAGAGGAGGATCTCAATAGAATATTTATCAGCTTTTTAGGTGTGTCCTTTCAGGGTTGTGGTCTCTACTAATTGTTCTGTGTGAGGGTAGAGAAATCATTGCATCTGGCCTTGAGGTGAGCCATGGCATTGTTCCCTCTGATTTTACTGATTCTCTAGGCCTGGATCTGAAACACTACTGAGGCCTAGATGTTATCCCTAGTTTGACCAAAACTCTGTCTCTGTGGTCAACAGACCTGAGGCTCTGCTTCCAAGATTATTTGATGTGTATCAGACCTCATTGTCTCCAGGCCTTAATGCTTAATGGTGTGATTGTGCAGGCGCTTGTATGGGAGTCAGATGATGCTATTCTCCAGCCCTCGTTCCTCCTCTAAGAGGGTCTACCACATGACTAGAGACCTTCCAGGAGAGGAAATGTCAGGGGGTCTGAACCACATGACCAGGGACATGCTAGAGGAGGAAAGGTCACCATGGGGCAAGGTCCCTCCTTACAATTATCCGTTGCTAGGCACCCGGGGCTTTGTGCCTGGGTGATCTTCAGTGTCACACCTCTTGCTCCTATTGTGCTCACGTCTGCCTAAGTGCCTACTAAATCACTTACCTTGTGTAACAATTTGAAATAGTTGTTTTTCCCTGTGCTTTGGAGAAGTATAAGTGGCATTGTAATAATCTACACTTTAAAAGATACCATATGACTCTATTGTCTTGTTCTGGGAGAGATCTTTAAATAACTTTTTTGTTTCTTTTATAAGAATAGATCTTTTAATCGTTTTCTATTTGTATTGGGATTAATTTTGGTAATTTTAAGACTGTGAATTACCTGAGATCTAGAACCTGTCTTTTTTGTTTAGTGCTCTGAGAGCCTGGGCTAGAATTACTGAAAAGTTGGTAGGTTGTCCATAAATGTGCATGTGCCTCCTGCCATGCGTTATGTTTGGCCCTCCAGGTGGGGCAACGCATTAAACAAGTAGCAGGTTTGTACTTGAAGCACTGGTGGGTTGAACATATGTGTTTACCTTCACTTCTTCACAAAGCTTCACATAAACAATAGTAAATGATATAAATTTTCTTAAATTGCCTAGTCTACAGCTAATCAGAGAAATACTCTGAGTCTTAACCACCACCAGACTTTCAGCTTTAGTGATGGGGTCATCATAGAGATCTAAACATGTACCTGGCCAAGAGTTAGGGAAGCTGGGGGGAGAGATGGCCATCTGGAGCAGCAGCCGGCATGCTTGGTCAACCCGCATTCACAACTGCAGTCTGAAGTTAGTGNGGTCATCATAGAGATCTAAACATGTACCTGGCCAAGAGTTAGGGAAGCTGCGGGGAGAGATGGCCATCTGGAGCAGCAGCCGGCATGCTCGGCCAACCCGCATTCACAACTGCAGTCTGAAGTTAGTGACAAGTGTAACTACAATGGCACCTCACGCCTTGCCCTGACTTTACAAGAGTAAAATGAATGTGCTCTGTCACTTCCATCTTCCCCACTCCATGTAACATACCCCTCTCATTTACAGACCCAACATCACCAGGGGAAAGTATCTAAAGACACTAACATGGGGGTTTCCCAAGAAATGGTCCAGCCAGGCTACACTGCAGTGAAGTCCTTGGAGGGCACCACACATATCTGCTTAGAGCAATGAGTATTTTAGAGACTAATGTTAAATAGGAGAGGACCTCCAAAGACTACCTGACATTGCAGAGGAGGTAACATGAAAGATACACGCACACAGTTGGGGGAACTATGTTTAAAGAGACGGAAGTGTCAAAGAAACTGTGTCATAATTAATATTTTCACAGATATTAGGGATATATTGCATCAATGAATCAAAAATTGCATGGTATTAAAAAAATATTCATAGGGAAAAGTAAACACTCTATGGAATTTAAAAATGTTACAAGTAAAATAGCCCAAAACTGAAAATCACTCAAATGAAGTAAGAACGAAAAGCCACCATTTCTGCACAGATGGGAGCTGAAGCCTGTAGGTTCTTCAGAATGAGCCTTGGGATTCATGGTCTAAAAATCACCAGGCTCCTTATCACTAAAAAATGTCAAGTAAAAAAACCTGACAAAAAAGAAGAGGCAGCATTGCATGAAACAATGCAATAACCACATCATCATCATGGTTCGAATTTATCACACACCTCCTCTGTGCCAGGCACTGTGCTAGGGCTGCCTGTGGGTTGTCTCTCGGATCCTCAGGAAGTGGCATGAGGCAGGTGTGTTTATACCTATATCCACACGAGAGAATCAGTGCTTTGAGAGTTCATTAGCTGCCTGTTGCTGCGCAATGAACCCCAGCAAACGTAACATCTGGAAGCAGCAGACGTGACCACTCTGTGGTTTCTCTGGTCCTTGAGCAACTTAAATGGAGTGGTTCTGTCTGGGCCTCTCCTAGGGCTACAGTTACAGTGTCAGCAAGGGCTGTGGCCACTACAGTGTTTGACTGTGGTGCTCTGCCCCAGAGCCCGCTCCCATGACATGTTTCAGGAGCCTCCACAATCACTCCCGTGGCCCTTCCCTCAGGGCTGCCTCTGGCCATGGCAGTGGGCTTCCCCAGAGTGACTGATCCAGGATTACCCAAGGTGGGGGCCACTGTCTTTCTATAATCCTCTTGGTAATGACATTAATAAATTTTGCCATATTCTGTTAGAAGCATGTCTGTAAGTCCAGCCCACACCCTAGGGATGGGCATGAATTCATGAGCAAGATGTGAACACCAGGAGGTGAGGATCAGATGAGTTAGCTTCATGGAGGTTGCCTACCATGACTTGGCTTATCCAAGCTCTCATAGGTGTAAGTGGTAGCCTTGTGATGCAAAACCACTCAATTTGACTCCTGGGCTCATGTTCTTAACCACTATGTGACCTCCCCAAAATGCTGCTTGGGTGGACAGCAGCACCCTTGCACGTGGTTATTATATTGAGAGTGTAAGAGTGGCTGGGAAGAGCCACCACACCTAGAGGTAACTTCCATGTGTGTGATACGCTATCAGATGCGTTATTGCTTTGGCAAAGAGAACAAGCTATGTATCACGGTTAGTATGTAGGGTGCACTATAAGCCTCCCATTTACATCCACCTTCAGAAAATGCACATGGCTGTGAGAGCAGCCCATGAATACAAGGATCACCTTGAATTCACTCTGATTTATACAAATGCAAACCCTCTCAAGGCGTAGAACTTTATCGGTAATGAATTATTTGAGGCACCCCTCATACTTGATCATGACAAACTGCAGCTTCATTTTCCTGGGATGGGGCATTTGTCACAGGGACACGTGGCGAAGGTGAGGAGTTGGTGCTCTGTCTTTAAAGCTGTTGGAGCCACTGAAGTCTTTTAAGCGTGGGAAGATGACACACTTGGATATATCCCTGCTGCTCTGAGTTAGATCATTTTGTCCGTAACATCAGGCAACATCCTGCATTCTCATGCGAGAGACGGCAGGCGCCTCCTTCACGTCTTACAGGGATTCATTTGTGGAACTGTGATGAGCTCTCTGTATTTCCCATATCTGCAGGTTGGTCCAGGTTCCCTATCTCAGGACACCTGTGTCTTCCTCTCTTTGAACGTAGAAAGACCTGTGTGGCTGCAGGCAGGCTGTGAGCTTCATAAGGCACAGACTGGTCACTTCCTTTATGTTCTGTAGTCTGGTGGCAGAAGCATTGTTGACATATCTTAAGGACTCAGTAAATGCTCCTTAAGTCAAAATAAACTTGATTGGCCACCTACTTATATTAGTTACCATGCTGAGCTCTGGATTGATATAAATAAGATAGTGTCATTTTACTTTATTAGTAGAAAGCCATGACTGTATAAGTTCACTCAGTTTTTCATTCACTCGTCAGGCCCCTGCTGTGAAGGCGGCCCCTGCCTGCCGATGCTGGGACAGGCACCAGCAGCACGTGGCTGCCATTCTTACAGGCCTGCCGCTGCTGGGGAGGCAGAGCAGCGCGGGGGAGCCTAGCTCGGCACCCTGTGCAGGCACCCAGGAGGGACACACGCAGAGAAGGGCCGTAGCAGAGGGAAGGGGAGGCCTTTTGAAGGATGTGACCTCTGAGCTGGTGAGAAGAACGACTTTGGTGAATGGAGGATGTGACTCTATCAAGTACTGGGATGCTGGTTTGCTAAGACTTGGGGAGAAAGTCAAGGTTATAGAGGAAGGGAAGGAAAGCAACATTGACAGTCAGTAGAAGCAGAAGTCACTGATGCATCCAAGGGATGTGAACAACCATGCAGTTTCCTCCTGCTGCTTTGTGTCTTCCCAGCCCTCTACGAGCGATCCTGCGAGGCATACAGGCACCGCGGGGACACCGCTGGCTTCTTCTACATCGACCCAGATGGCAGCGGGCCGCTGGGACCTCTCCAGGTGTACTGCAACGTCACAGGTGAGGGGCTGAGGGTGCAGACTCCCACTCACACTCTCTCTAGTTGTGGGATGGTACACAACCGAGGGGAATCCCGGGACGGGGGCACTCCTGCAAATAAAAGGCCAAGTTCTGGGGGGAATGGTATTTTAGTAAATAATAAAATTAGCAGCTGGGTTGTTTTCATGAGAGAAGAAAACTTGTAACAGCCTTCACGTTCCACAAAAACCAAGAATTTATTACCAAGCGTTTTCTGGAGAACTTGTTAAAGATATTTTTTTCCTCTTAGAACTCAAAAACCAGAAAGCAAATGAAAACAACCAAACAGAAAACAAAACTCAAACTGAATAGGAAAGCTTGACCCAGGTAATGGGAAAGCTTGATTCATGCCGGGCCTGAGGACTGTGAATCCCACATTCTCTCTGAGCTTCAGTTGTATGTCAGTGATGTGGGAGTAGTAGTTTCTACCCCCTAGAGGTGTGAGAATTAGACACACTTGTGGGTAGTACAGCCACTAGTCAGACCAGTTATCCAGTAGATGCCTAACAAAAAGGGAAAGTGAGCTTTTTTGTTTTTTTCCGACAATTTTAGTTATCTTGCCAGTTCATTCTAAAGTGCAGAAGGACCTCATCAGAGCCAGTTGTCACATGGCTTTAGACACAGCATATGAACACTGATTTATTTTGAGAAATAATTCCACAAAAACAAAATGTGATGTAACAGTTTTCTAAACATACAGCATTGTGAGAGCGCTCTCTCCACTGCAAGTGTCGATAAGGGGCGCATCTACGTTTGTGGGCCCAGCACTGACTCTTGGAGAGGCCGGCAGAATCCTGTATTGAAGCAGGAAAGGAGAGGACTGTTTGGGCTCATTGAGGCTTCTCTGCAACAAGGCAACCCCTCTATGGAGCTCTTTCTGCAACCAGACACTGTCCTGGGCACTGAGGCTATGCAGAAAATTGAGACTAAGCCACTGTCCTTCACGAGGCAGTAAAATTGGAGATAATAGCATGCAATATCACAGGAAGAAAGGCAAGCAAACCTTTGCAAAAATGGTGATTAAGGACACTTAGCAATTTGCACATCTGAAAACAAAGGGCCACTGTTTTTTTCCTGCAGAAAATGCTAGTTACGTAGAATTGAATGCCATTTCCTTGCATTTCCATAATCCTTTATCTGCAAAATGCATAATGCTCGCTGCTTCTCCACAGCTTTATAACACAAAATAGGAATTGTGCTGCTGTGTCTTTCATGGTTGTGGTAACTACAGTGTTCAACAACCTGGTCAAGTACTAGGTACGGTTCTCTGTGGACCTTGGTTATTTCAAAATGTAATTAACATATAGATCTCTGGGGGTTCTTGCTAGGAATATAGACTTCCCAGCCCCAGAAATTCTAAATCAGTAAATGCTCCATTACTGAGCTCTCCAAGTGACCCTGGTGCAAACTGCCCCTGGTCCACACCACCAAAACCAAGGAGTGGACTGACCACAGCATAAGGCAAAGGAGATCGATGTCTGCAGGGGAGAGATTGAGCCCAGCAGCTTCGAGAATGTTTACAAACATCATTAATTAAATCCTCAGCACAGAAATAGGAGGGAGATAGTTTCATCTCTATCTTACACAGAAGGAAGGAGAGTATGAGGCTGTCATGAGGTAATAAATCTGGAGCTAACAGTCAAGACTCAGGAGTCAGGCAAATGCTTCTGGCTCAGTAATAACTGTATCACTAAACATTAATTAGATGCTGTGTATTGCTTATGTTCTGCTTTAAACAGTGCTTTTATTTTTGTCATAAAAGAAATCAATATTAATTATAAATTTTTAAGAAAAAGTATGAAGAAAATGCTAAAATCACCTATAAACCACAATGAAAATTGCCATTGTTATTTTGTTAGAATTTTCTTGTGACTTTTTTCTATAAATGCATATATGTTTTTTCTGTAAATGTATGTTTTTTAAAACATATATATATTGAAAGTATGAATTTAATAAGCTAGCATAGACTTGTTCTTATATCAATGAAATATATTTTGAAATTAAAATATGTACATTAAATATAGTGTAAATTTTTGAACTCTAAAATAATGTAAGTTCAGTGACCCAGAGGGTATGGTTGATCCATCGGTCTCATTTAGGTGGAGTCTCTGCCTGTCTTTGGGAGGACTTCTCTCAGGGTTTATGCTGGTATTGTGCCCAGGGATGGCTCAAGATGAATGTCTGCTTGCATTTAAATGTACCTGCCTCACTGATGTGACCCCAGAGGAGTCAAGACCTCTGCTTTCTGTCCCAGATGGGCAAGACTTCATCATGTGTGGTTGGATATTTCTCTAAATATGGGTTTTGGTCACATGCTATTGGAAAATACACAGGTTTTTGGCTTGGTTTTTTGTTTTGTTTTTTTCCTAAAACAAATCTCTGTGTAGCTGAATTATGTAATTCTCATGGTTAACTCATTGTATTTAGTATGTAAATATAATGATAATTGAAAGGTTAAAGTTGGTAGTGCACTGGCAGGCTAAAAAGCTGCCTCCAATGGTGATAAGAATTGAATTTATTTAAGGAAAAGGGGTGGGGGATGGGGTGTCCAAAAGGAAGGCTACAGGGCACCAGGGCACTGAGTCAAAGGGTACTGGGCACATGATGGCAGCAAAAATATATTCAGGACAGTGAGACAAGGAAGGGCACAGACGAAGAAATGTGAGAGCCCAGCTGGGCTGCTCTGGGCACTGAGACGTCAGCAAGAAGGGGCCTTGGAGACAGGATCAGGGGGTAAGCCCAGGACGAGCTGCTGCTGCCCAGTGCTCCCTGGGTTGCAAGTCTCTTGGGGCCCCTCGGAGGGGGAAGGAGATGGCACTGGCGTGCTCCCCTGGGGGAGAGGGCAGGATGGATCCTCTGTCCTGAGTGTATTTACCTCTTTCTTGCTGGTGGAAATCCTAGGGGAGGTCTCAGGGGAAGGTCTCAATAGAATATTCATCCGCTTTCCAGGTGTGCTCTTTCAGGGTCATGGTCTCCACTGATTGTTCAGCACCAGGGCTGGGGGTCATTAGTCAGTGTAGCTGGTCCTGAGGCGGCCACTGAGCCACTTGTCTGATTTTGCTGCTTTTCTGGGCCTGGAGCTGAAATACAACTGAGGCCTAGATGCTGTCTTTAGGGAGGAAACACTCAGGGGTCTAAACCACATGACCAGTGATATGCTGGGGGAGGAAGGTTACCCTGGGGACAAAGTTCTTTTTCCCCCAGTTTTGCCCCTTGCTAGGCACCTGGGGCCTCCTGCCCTGGTGAGTCTCTGTGCCTGGCCCATGGTCCTTGCTCTGCTCATGTCTGTTTAATAATAATCAGGTCCGTATTTTTCTATTTGTAAAATGTTAAATGTTCTTGAATACGAGTAACATGATACTAGCAAAAGTGTGGCGGGAAGTGTTCAGGGAAGAGAGGGAGGGACAGAGAACGGAACTGGGGTGGAGCAGGAAAAAGAGGACTTGGTCTGTGTTAAATTCCCATTGGAGAAAACCCAAAGCTGCTGCTCTCTGCCTTGTCTGTAGCAGTACTGAGTAGCAACAGGGGGTGTGACCAGCCCTGGCTGACCGGGGCCTGGGCTCTCTTCCTGCACCTGAGCCAGCAGCTGGGTGCTCCTGGCCCCTTCACAGGTTTCTAAATAAGGACCTGGGCCAGGCGGTCGCACAGGCGTCTTCACTCAGAATTCCCTGAGAGATTGTGAGGCTCAACAGTGAAGGGAACTGTCTCCTGAGAGGCCTGCAGGTGTTTGCAAATATAGGTCCTGTGGGTGAAGATGGATGGTTTTAGTTGTGGAAAACAGTTAATTTGAATCCCAAAAGCATCTCTTTAAAATGCACCCCTAGGGAACATTAGCTCTCTGTTTCTGCCCTCATGGTGGCACCTCACCCTCCTGGAGGTTTCAATCTGTGCTTCTGCTACCAGAGAGGAGATCCCTCAAACTCAAGCAGCAACTGTCTCCCTGATGTAAGCCAACAAAACCTGTGCAAGGGAAGGGAGGCCAGTTTGGGGAATAGCCTGAGGGCTGACCAGGGTCCAGGGTTGTTGATGAAGTGGACTGAATCTAGGTCGCTACACATTTTGTGTGCACTCAGACTGCGTCACCTAGCCTTTGGAATCAGTGGGTGGGAGACAGGGCAGGCCCTAAGTTTGGAGGGAGGGCAGACTGAAGTGGGTGGGGAAGATAAAGAATAATTTTCTGCAGGAGTACATATACCTTTGGCCTACTCGCCACATCTAACTGATTTACAATTCATGTCAGCTCAAAAAAATGTGCAGGTTCCAGGCACTGTGCAAACTGCTAATCTTGCTAATACCAAATTGTGTCTGCTTTAGTTTCTCCAGGCTTCTACAATAAAACTCCACAAATTGAGTGGCTTAAAACCAAAAACAAACAAACAAAAAACAGAAGTACATTGTTTCACAGCTCAGGAGACTAGAGGTCTAAAACCAAGGAGCCCCCAGGGCCCTCTCCCTCTAGAACCCGGAGGGGAATCCTCCTTGCTCTTCTGGCTCCTGGCATTTGGCCTAATCCCTGGGCATCCTTAGACTTGTAGAGGTTGTCACCCTGCCTCCATGGGACATAATCACAGGTGACCATCTCCTCTCATGTGACTGTGTGTCTCTTCTCTTCCTATAAGGACATTGGTGATACTGGGTTAGGGCTCACCTTCATGCAGTCTGGTTTCATCTTCATTTGCTTGCATTTGCAAATAACCTATTTTTGATTAAGGTCACATTCACAGGTACTGAGGGTTAGGACTTTACATATATTTGGGGGAAATAGTTCTAATCATAACACTATCATTTCAGGAACAGTCTGTATCATAGGTGTCAACATGAGAAACTTCCATACTGGTAGAAATTGTTGTGAGTTTATTAGAGCCAAATTGATGACAATTGCCAGGTAGCGAAATCTCAATGGATTGAGAGAATGCTCCAGAGAATGGAAGTTTTGTACCTTATTTTATACATTACAATCAAAAGAGGAGATGTAAGTGGGT